AAAGACAAGGAAAAGCGGAACAAAAGAGAAAGCAATGAAAAAGTAAAGGAGGCAGCCTATTTTTTTCAACTAGTAAATAGAAACAAAAGCAGAGTTATTGGTAACAGAAGCCGATCAGATATTAAAGTACACATAGACCTTACTGAATAACTTATTTCACTTTGCTAAAGTACAATTATTTTTTTTAATAAAGTATTTGTTTTCACCATTTTTGTATATGTTACTGTAGCACAGCTCTGTTGATCCCTTGCAGCCTATTAGAACTTGCTTCCTGTTTACATTCACTCCAGCAACTTCTGCACATCATTTGTGTAATGTAATGTGCATTGGTATGGCCTCTTGTAGTCTCCATTGGGAGAGTGCATGGCAGGGTCAGGGCTTGATTAACATAGGGGCCACTGGAGCACCAGCTCCAGGACCACCACTGAAAATAGGCTCGGCTGGCCCAGATAGTCTTGGTATGCCCGATGGCAATCTGGAAAAAAATCAGTCAGAGGCGCCGACCACTCTCTAATCAGATATATTAGGCGGCCGCTTGCTGGGGCCTAGCGAGGCCTCAGCGAGGAGTGAGCAGCCTTTTTTCCAACTGATTAACAGCACCAGGCTCATGATGCTCTTAATCCGGTCTCTGTCGAAAACTTCAACTCCTCTTAATGTCCAATGACCTGATTTCCGGTTTAGTTAGAAGTAAGAGGTTTGGTCGAGAAGGCTGAACTGCACGTGCGCCACCTGCGCCATTTCCCTATACGCGTGTGTAGTATGTGTATAGGGAAATGGCGCGGGTGGCACACGTGCAGTACAGCCTTCTCAGCCAATCCCCCTACTTCTAACTAAACTGGAAGTCAGGTCGTTGGAGATGTCGACGAGTTGGAACTTTCGATAGAACACTGGCTTTGGACAGGGTGACAACAATGGAAAACAATTGGACTGGCCTAGAGTGTTGTCAGCCAAAATAGGAAGTGCCTGAACAAGGACCACCAGGTTTAATTTTAATGGTAATAGTACTGTATATTATATAACACTATTGAGAATTACTTTTGAAATTACGTTATTACGGTGAATCTTATATGACATTTTAGGAATTGGTTTTACACTTACTTTAACTTTCATTTGTTTAATGCAGAATGAAAAAAGAGCAACATTCCCATGCCTCAGGTTGTCCCCATACTACACCTCCACCTTCTTTTTACTTCAGTTATGATAGATTAGCCCCACAGTAGGAATTAGGAGCAATTGTCTCACGCAGAAACATTTTAGGTGAACAATAATTTATCATCTTTCATTATACAAAATATTTTTCAGCAGAAACTGAAAAACACTTTGTTCTAAAATCATTTTCTTTTTACTTTGCTGTTTGTTCCGCACCACGGCCGTTCGCAGGCCAAAACCGTTGCAGTTACTTTTAGTAATTGTCTCGTAGTTCAGGGAAGGAATTATATTAAAGCTGCAGATTATAAATCAGATTGATACAATCTGCCTGCATCAGGACTTTATTTGCATATTCGGTCCTTGAGCCAGGATGAGAAAATGAGAAGAATGCTTACACCAATATATGAGATGGTAGCGTAAACATTTCTCCTCACCGCTGGCCACAAGGCAGAAAACTAGAAAACTAATCAGAAATAAATTGCTAATCATTCACTAAGCATCCTGCAGTCAAATGGTAAGTTAAAGCACATTTATGTGAAATGATACCGCAATTTGCTAATAAGATTTTAAAATACAAAAGAGAGCGGTATGCGAAAAATTCACCGATCTGAAATTCTTTCCAGAAAGAAGAGGGGGGGGGGAGGATATAAAGTAATTATAATGCAGCCAATTATCTAGTGGTGCAGTGAAAACCATAGCAGCCTGTGTGGCTGTAAAGGGGAGCCAAGGGGAGAGGGGCCCTACGGAGAGGAATACAGCGAGGGTTATATCACGCAACAATTGTGCAGCAATGCCCAACATTCCTTGCTTATAGGGATAAACAGAAAAATAAGACAGATAATTGATTATGCCACAAAATGATTTTGCCATTGCTGAAAATGTAAACAAAATTAGCCCCTAATTTTGCCATGTAAGCTGCTTTTTTGAAACTCGCTTGAAAAAGGATCTACCATTCCATATTGTTTGTAGACCTGTGACACCCATGAAGCCACACCTAGCACCCATTCAGTCAATGTTGTGGTGCACCACATCAAAGGCTTTAATAGCAACTGCACATGGGGATAATAGTGCCATGGGTTAATAGGAAGAACAGGCCTGCGCTGGATTAAATTATAGTACCATGATGGTATATTAACAACGCTGGCAGTAGGCAAAAAAGTATCATTCTAACGACACATGAACAACAAACGGGCCAATATTCCAATATAAGGGCAACAAACAGGCAATCATGAAAATACACAGGCAAAATTGGATAATCATTACAAATTGTGGGCCACAAATGGAAAATGTTTACAAGATGTAAACAACAAACATGCAATTGTTATGAGGCACTGGTAACATTTAGGTAATTCTTACAAGAGGCAGAAAATAAACAGACAATCAATAAAATATGCAGGAAATAAATGGACAATATGTATAATACATCCAATGTTAAGGTCTGTTACATTACATAATGCCATGTTTCCAGCTAATCACTCTTATTAGTCATTAAAAGCCCATTGCAAAAGTAAAAAACAAAACCCCTTAATCTCGTCTCACTGACTTAAATGCATTTTGGAAAATGGTTCAATTGCCCTGAAATGTACTTGGTATCTGAACATCCTTAATACTAAGTATTGTGTAAGTGTAACACTTCCAGGTATTTATTACCCCTCACAGAGATCACAGTACTACTCCTGACGATGCCAGACCCTCTGCTTTTCTCTCCAGAAAGACAGCACCAGGTTCAGCATCTACTTCTTGTACTGATATGCTGGCTCAGAGATGACTCAATCATATAAACCCCGGAGTCTTTGAAGTTCTTGGATGTATAACAAAAACTGACTCCCAAACAAATACAAACACCTGTTAATGCGACTCAACAAACCTATGATACAGATATCTCTCTATAGATGAATAATTCAATATACTATAATATAACCGCTGTGTAAAATTCATACAAAACAAATTATTTATTGCAAAATAAACCCCCTGATGCTGCCTCTCACCTAGTGATTTGCTTCAACGTTGAGTCAGATCATTGGGGGAGAGGAGAATGGGAAAATGTTTACGCCTGCCTGCAGTAGACTGATGACATCATCACAACCAAGGCAAAATCACTTACCTGCAGCTTACGGACTGGCTTTTAATTATATAAAGTAGAGCTCATTTAAAAAAATATACTACCTCTGTATATTGTGACATATCAGGAGTTATTCATGCAAACTTGTAAAATTCATGCACCTTAACAGCTACAGAGCCAGACTTACTGTATAAGGTTTATTCAAGACAATCAGTTTTGGTCATCACAAGGGCACTTACATAGTATGATCTTTAAGAGGCCGATGGGTCTCTTCTCCTGGATGTATAGTGACTCCTTGACCCACTTCCCAGTGGAAGGCTGCATCTCGACGAAATAAGCCAGGCTGGAACCACCTACACATATTGCCATTTTCAAAGCTGCAGTATTCTGAAACTTAGAAATGAATCAGGAATTAGTCATCCACTTTCTATGGCTGTAAACGGTATTGTTTCTTACATTCTGGTACTGTCATAAAATAAAACAGTGTGCTGAATAGGGAGGTGGTCTAGGCAAATATGAGGGTTTCCATTTTTCTTAGAAATCCCCCATAAAGCAATCCACTACCAAAAATCAATGTATTTAAGTTCAAAGCAGAACTCTGCATACGATTTTTATTAACCCTTGCAGTGGAGCTACCTCCGCACTGCAAGGGTTAAGTGCTCGTTTGTGTCTAAGTACAAAAATAAGAAAAGGTATACACGCCTGATCCTCCGAGCCAGCTTGCTCCTAGACTGGTCTCTTCCGCCTCGCTCCCCTTCCGCTGCAACAGTCTAAGGCCCCTGAGTTATCACTTTCTATACACAGTGTATAGAACTTGAGGGTGCTGAGGGACATACCATCACTGCAGCGGAGAAGGGAAGCGTTATCACAGCTGGCTGGCTCAGAGGATTGGTGGGTACATCTTTGTTGTTTTTGAACCTAGACACAAACAAGCACTCAACCCTTGCAGTGCAGGGGTAGCCCCACTGCAATGGTTAATAAAAATTTTACCCAGAGTTCTGCTTTAAGCATCAGAAATGTATTTTAGTGTAAATACAATTATGTGCTCTGTCTTCAGAGACCCAATTGCCTCTGGTATTGGTGCCATCGTGTTTTCCACGTCATGACAATCAGTAGACAGTGCCAGGCGAAGTATGAAATTGTAGACAGCCTCCCTCACATTTCCTTTCCAATCTTAGGAGACAGTGATCTCTCTAGATGTACAATCGACTATGCATTACATCACTGACCCGGGAATGCCCTCCAATAAAACATTAACATACATTGATTGAGGGTTATTTACATCACATTGATCTCTTTTAAATGATTATCTAAGGAACTTAGAAAGACAATACACTACCTTTAAAATGAACATGAAGGATATGGACATACAAGTTTTTACATAGTCTGAACAAACAGTAAATCTGCTTTAAAACAATCCTTACTGATATCTGTAGCTGCAGACACTGGGGAGCAATTCATCCTTAAAGTTCACAGCAAAAGCACTTACACCCAACAAGTTGTTCCAATTAGTAGCTCAGCTGCAAATGCTTCCCCTCCCAACAGTAACTAAGCAGCTTAGCTCACTCTCCTTAATCATACCTGAAGTGACTAAGCAGCTCAGCTCAACTTGCTCACCCCCTCCTAGAAGTAACTAAGCAGCTCAGCTCCCCCTGCTCCCCCTGACTGAAATTACTAAGTAGCTCAGCTTATCCTTCCCAGCAGGGACTAAGCAGCTCAACTCACCATGCTGCCCTCCCTGAAGTGACATAGCAGCATAGCTTACCCCTTCCAGCAGTGACTAAGTAGCTCATTCTGCTTCCCCTTCCTAGAAGTGACTCAGCAGCTCAACTGTTTGCTCAGCGCTTTGCAATATAAGGAAGACATTACAATTACAATAGAATTCAAGACAAGATGTTAAGGAGGGCCCTGCCTGAGAGAGCTTACAATCTAAAAGGGAGGGGCAAGTGATACATGAGGAGGTAGCTGTGTGGGGATGAATTGTTTGAGAAGGTGATAGTTCAGTGGTTAGGTTGAGGTGGGATAGGCTTCCCTGAAGAGATGAGTCTTAAGGGATCGCCTAAAGGCAGTCAGAGAAGGAGATAGATAGACAAGTTGGGCTAAGGAGTTCCAAAGAATGGCGGAGACTCTAGAGAAGTCCTGGAGGCAAGCATGGCAGGAGTTGACGAGGGAGCTAGAGAGCAGGAGGTCTTGGGAGGAGCATAGGGGATGGTTAGGGTGATACTTTGAGACAAGGTTGGAGATGTAACCTGGGGCAGAGTTGTGGATGGCTTTGTAAGTGGTTGTTAATATTTAGAATTTTACCCTTTGGGCGATTGGAAGCCAGTGGAGGGATTGACAGAGAGGGGTTGCAGGTACTGAGTGGTTGGTTAGGTGGATAAGTCTGGAAATAAAACTTATGCATAGTAGAGTTATTTACTTACCACAGCTTGCTTCATCAGAACCATCTAGACAATCCTCTCTGAAGTCACACAGCTTTGACTTGGGTATGCAGTGCCCGCATGACCTACAGACATGCTCATTGGTTGTGCAGTTGTTTGCAGGAAGTGTTGCCACAGTAGAGGTTGCCAGAGGAACTGGGGCCCATGTTGGCAAAATGCCTACAGACACAAAAAATAAATTTACATTCTGTAAAGTCTGATATAACAATGGAGCAAGACATGGGCTAGACCCATTAGGCAGCAAGGAGGGTAATAATGAACTATAGTACTATAATCCATAGACACCGATCACATACAGTATATATTTCCAGAATGTGGTGGGGATCTTAACATTTGGTAGTTCTGTTGGCCGTTGAGCTCTAATTTCTCTTTTATATACATGGAAATTTATATTAATATGCTGAAAAATAACCACTTTCCCTTTTATTATCCCTTTAATTATACTTTAAGGTACTTGAATGTATTTTTAAGATTTAACTCCTGAGTTTAGTATCACTTTAATGATACTTAAAGTGTCTTAGCAAACTAAACACTATCCAGCTAGGGTTTAGATCTGCTTTATCCATATCTTTATACATAGGTTAACAGGCTGTCAGTACATGGCTGCATTCTCTCAATTACATCAGCATTATTACTCTGTTCTAAAAAGCCATATAATATTTCTATTATGGGCTTCTGTGTTGCTAATGGACCTATGTGTTCAATATTTTATTGTGCTATTCATGATGAATTGATCTGCTGAGATATAAGAGATGCATATGGGAGAAAATGAAATAAAATGTAAAGTTTTCAAAGTGAAATTCTGCACTGCACCATTGCTGTTGGCATTGTCTTAATATAGAATTGCAATATATAGATAGATAGATATATATAGATATATCTATCTATATATATATATATATATATATGTCTATATATAT